ACAGCTTTCAAGATTGTTATTTCTCCCCATCCGAAAATGTGTCAGGGTACTTCACAAGTCTTGACACTTACAGCTATGAGTTCATTGGCTTTAGTGGGAAAGCCGCCAGCAACCTGGGCTCCAGACATATCTTCTGTAACCATGAGCAGACTTAAGGCGGGAAAGGACTGCAGATGACAGAGACTGACTTGGTATCAGCCATGGCAATCCTGCACAATCTCTAGGATTCAGCCGAACTATATATCATCCACAAATACGTGTGGATTTATGTACATTCTTCTGTAGGTAGTTCTGTTTTATCCCATGCCATTTTATCAGCCACATCCCGATTGTCTAATGTTTCACAGACTGGTTTTCATGCCACCCATCTAACAGGCTCTAATTATTTCTGATCTTTTCTCTCTTGTCCAAACAAAAGGCTGCATATTTTATTATTTTCTTTCAATTGAGAGCACCGTTCTCTGAAAATTAGATGAGCTGATTGATATTAACAAATTATCTAGTGCATTATTTTTTTCACACATTACCATGTAAGTGGTGACAAATTAGCTCATAGTCACTTGTGTGTAATCCCAGACTTAGAACTTCAGGTCTGCTGTTCTTTTTAACACAGGCCCGAGGGAAAACTGGCTCATACCAACACAGATGCCTCTGATAAAAATACAAGTAAGCCAATTTAATTGTTAAAATGTGAAAAGGAAATGACTAGTACAAAGTTTATAAAACATCTATATAAGAACATTTTTAAGAAAAACCTTTTCTGAAAGTTGAAAAAAAAGTTCAAAAGTAGTCTTATCCCTTTTTTCATTTTCCAGAGCATAAAACCAAGACTCAGACCAGTGAACCATTTACTTACAGTCCATAAAAGGAAACACCAGAGTTGTGACACAGAGGCCAGTGTAGTTAGAACACTGAAACTTTAACTTCTATGTCATTTAGTGAAGCCACACATTCTAGGGAAACTCAATAATAACAGCAATCTGGGCTAAAAAAGTTGATTCTATAAAAGCTTTAAGAGATTTACTCTGGGGATGAGATGGTATTTGCTCATGCTTATTTTAGCTGTTTTTTTTTTTGTATATTTAAGATAAATAACAGATGAGGGACATGTATGTAACGCACTTGTTGTAATGGAACAAATTAGCAAATATGTCATTTTTACATGATAAGAAAACCTGACACCCTTTGTGTTGGTGAAAAGTTTTTTTTTTTTTTGTTGTTGTTGTTTGTATGTTTTTGAAACAAATGTATTTTCCTCTGGCAAGAACAGTTATAATCCACTCCTTAAACCAAAACCCCGAATTTAATGCTTGTTTCACATGTCTTCCATGTTGGACATTAGCTCTCAGAACTTGTTTACCTTATATATTTGCTGCTCTGGATTCTTTACCATGCATCTCCCCAGGTCCTCCCTGTCTCCAGACTGGTAAGGAGTGGAGTATTTTCAAACATTAGCTTTATAATGTACTGGAGGAGGAAGATAGTGGAGGTGTTGATGTAAGTGGCTTCCTGGATGTGCCAAGGCTCTACACCCCATTGTGTGCACTCAAAGGGCAGTTCAAATCGTCTTGAAATTTACTTGCCAACAAGGGAATGAGACTTCATAATGTCAACACAGCTTAGTCTACACTTCTACACCTTAAAAATTAACTGTACCAAAAAACATATATCTCTTGTTTATAACCTACACAACTATGGTTTTCTCTGAGATTTTTTAACACTTTTATATTTTGGTATCAATCTAATCACAGATTAAAATTTTAATTATTTTAAATATTTTAAAGTAATTTAAATATATACATAGTGTAAATATTGAATTATTCAAATATCTGCTTATTTAGAAACCTATTCATTTGTCATTATTAAATTTAATGTCATCTATTTTGATTTTCAGATGCCAATATAAATATGAAAGATAAGATATTAGTTGCTTCTGTATACTTGTGGATAAGTGCTTGACATAACAACTGAAGAGAATGAAGATTCACTTTGGCTCATGAACAAGTTGGTTAAGAGAAAGTTGAGCTCAGTTCACCATGAGTGAGAGGTGCAGGGTCAGGAGTAGAGGTGATGCTGGTTCACACCTTTGCCATGGATCCAGGCACAGAACACAGATGGAAACTGGGCTTGATATAACCTTTAAAGGCTGGCTCTAGTGACTTAATTTTCTCCAGCTTCTAAAGATTCCAAAACAGGTTCCAATCATAACATTGAAAGTATGCTTTCTCTATTTGGGCTCAACTTTGTTTTCACAGGAAGAAAAAAGCTAGCTATCATCCACCATCAAAATCATTTGGATTGTTCCTAAACAGAAGTCATTTGCAGCTTATCTAGTTTGTTTTATAGCTGAACATCAGGCTCATCCTCAGCAAGCAGTGTAAGAATACATTGTTTCAGAAACCCAAATAATCCTGCAAATAATCACTATTAGACAAGTGTTCATTCATAGCATTGGAAGGTCAGGGTGTCATTATTTTCCTTATTTCAAAATTTTGGATAATTCTGAGAGGAAAAGTATTTAGGTTAATACTACATATCAACATTCCTAGCAAACCATTTCATTTACTTAGCAAAACAAATAATCAGTGAACACCAGACTTTATCAGAAACATTATTTTCTTGGGAAAACTCTTGATAATAAGTCTGGCTTCAACACTGAATATTTTGAAGGTTATCGTACAGAAAGCTAAGTTCATTCATACAATTGCACATGCCGTTATATTACACATAGTAAATATGATTTCCTACAATTGTATAAGCAGAGAAAAGCATGAGAGTGTTAAACTTCAGAAAAAAATATAAAATAAAACCCACACCTTTCAAATTACCTATTCAATATATTCTCATCAGTGAGTCAAATGTTATAAAACACAATTTTTGTTATTGTCTTTTAGGGTTAGGTTTGGCACTGCCTTATTATTCTATTTTAGTACTAGGGTCTATGTTTTATATTTTCTCCATTTTTAATTGCTAAGGGATGGCAACATTTTGTGCTATTTTCCCATTATTAGTGATATATAATTGATAAATAAAAATATATTTGTTTAATGTATACAAACCTCTCTGTGTTTAACTCTTACACATGAGCTTGTCATAAAGAGTATTAAAGGATATTTTATGTGAGAATTAATAACATCTTAAAGGCAACTCCTTTGTGATAACTTGTAAGTAACATAAGGTTTATGCTAGTAAAGGTGTAAATTTGTTTCCTTTTTCTCCATTAGGAGTCTTTACTAAAAGATATTATACACATATACTTATACAAATAATGTTAATAAAGACATGATAGAATACCAGAGACATTAACAAAAGCAAAATTTTCTACAAATTGACAAAATTATTATATTAATATATAAACAGCAAGCTGTAGAAAGCAATAATAACTTAGAGAAACTATGTAAGCGTTCTTAATTACTTACACCATTTTATGTGGTAGCAAAGAAAAAAAGTATACCCCAGATTATGTGGTTTTTATTACATAGAAAATATATATATAGAAAAAGTAAGCATGAAAAATGCACATGGGTGCTCATGTAGTTATACACACAGAGAAACAAAACGTAGGATTGGCTCCTTTATTATTGTAAAAGTTTCTAGCTTTTAAAGAAATTATATGTTCCTAAATAGTTCTTCTAGGGCTATAAAATGTAATTGAATTATAATACTGTTTAGTATAATTTTAAATTTATAATGGTTCAGGGGCATATGCATAACACATAAGATTATGAAAAAAATATAATTTTATTTAATATAAAACACATATACATAACATCTATTTGAAGTTGTGACTACTTCGTGAAAGAAAGTTCTTCTGTGCACTGCAAAGTTCTGAAGAAAAGGGCCCCTTGCAATCATGTCTTGTTTGCTGCTTCTGGGGTCCCAGCTTTGCTGGGTCTCAGGCATCAATCTGAGAAGGGAAGTTGTAAAGCCCACAGGCCACTGCTGCTTTCTCCTTCCTAGTTTCTCCACCCCACCCCTCACCAGCCACCACAAGCCTGTGATTAAGATCTGGGTTCTGGAAGCAGGAGCAATTGTTGGTTGGGGGCTAAGGGGTGCTGTTAGGTATGAACGCCTAGAAGTAAATCGTCCAGCACCTTTCCCCTGGATACTTTTCCTGTTATATGCCAGGTCATGCATTTGAGTTTTACACACACACACACACACACACACACACCTTTTGATCCAACACCTTAAGTGATCTAACAAGGCTAATGGATGCCAGCACCGTGAGCCTTTCTACACTAGGCAATGATTTGTGAGCCCTGCAGCCCTTGGTCCATCACCTTGTGGAAGATCAGTTTGAGAGTGTTCAGGAGGGGTGGGGGGTGACAGGAGGGGGATGAGTTGGGGGATGGAGTTGAGGGAGGACCTTTTTAAAATGAAGAACTAGGGAATCTGATTTCTAAATAGCTGCACTCCTCAGCTGACCTTACCATGCTTGCATTTAGGGCAGAAGAGGGTTTTTATTTTGTGTGTATGGAGTCAGTTGGTAGGGAAAGCATTCTTCCTCCTCCTTTCTGTTTGCCAAGATCAGATTACTTTTCACAGACTGGAGCTGGCTGGCAGGAGGCAGCAGAGGGAGGGGGTTAGTTTTAAATCTTTTATGTGTGTGCACCTTGTGTGGTTGGGTGTGGAAAGCAGGAAAAGGGGGGTTTCCAAGTCGAGTGAAATTCCCATTCCATGACTATTACCATGCCTGTAGGATTGGCAGGTCTCAGAGTTTAGCTAGTTGGCAACTAACTAGGGAACACAATAGTCTCTCCCTTCCCTCTCTCCCCTTTCTCTTCCTCCCTCCCTCCTTCCTTCTCCTACTTTTCCTCTTTCTCTTTCGGACTTTCTCTCTTCTCTCTGGTTTTTCTGCTTCCAAGCAAACACCTCCCAGGCTGAAGCTGGGCTGGTCTCCTTAGGCGCAGCAGCCACAACAATCCCGCAGTTCAAAGTTAGGCAGCAATTGCACAACTTCCAGCAACTCTCTCAGCTGGCTGCTAATGAGCTGAAAGCCAGGAACATCTGAGGAGGGGAAAAGGAAGCCTCCAGCTTTCCTCTTTTCACCAGAGAGACCTAGACACCCCTCCCTCTCCGGGCCCAGATCATTTTGTGATAAGGACTGTGTTAATTCCTTGCCTTGCTGGACTGACCATGGCTCCCTTTGGAAGAAATTTGCTGAAGACACGACATAAAAACAGGTAAAAAAATCCCCCCCCCGTGTGTGTGTGTGTGTTTGTTTGTGTGTGTGTGTGTGTTTGTTTGTGTGTGTGTGTGGTGTGTGTGTTTCGACTCAGTTCCCTATGTGTGAAAGAATGTTTCCTTACGCTTCGGTTCTGATGAAAATTGTTTTGAAAGCACAAAACGCCCTTGGAAGTCAGGATCTAGAAAGATCCAGCTCTTCAGAATATAGGTCTGTATTGATGAAGGCCAAGGATTATGGAAAATCATGACTGATTTTAACTCACTTTTTATGACAGCTTGAGTTCAATACTCACTAGCATTTTCTGTTTAGTTTGACTTGAACTTTGGAGAAGGAAGAATAACAAGTTATGTTTGGTTTAAGCACAGGTTTAGAATATTATTTTTTGAAACAGTTTAAGAGTTTGGGAAAGATATAACTTGGATTTCCAGTCACTTGTTAGAAATAAAGTACAACTGCTGATATAACCTGGAAACAATGTTTTGGTTTCCCCTGAGAGTGGGGCATTTCTAAAATCTGGAAGGTTCCCAAGTGAAAATATTCGCAAGAGGAACTTTTTATGGACTGTATCTTTGAGAACTTTAGGTGGCTTAGGCACTCAAAGAGGAGTCAAGCAGCTGCGTGCCTCAGACTTTTATTATCGCCACTTTACTTTGACTTAATACATCAAGCTTGCATTAACTGAGGTTTAAATACATGTACTTAAACCATAGACGAGAGAGGGAGGGAGGGCAGGAGAGAGAGGAAGAGAGAGAGATTGAATTTGCGATAATGGGTTACTATCCATATTTATATTTCAATACAATAACTATTCTATTTATAGTTCAAATGTTACATTTTTATGCAAACAGTGCAAAGACAATGTTAGACAGGCTTTATTTTTTTTTTTTAGCATACTTGTTTTGGCAGAGGGGCTTTCCAAGCACTCTCTCCTCTTCATTATGCCTGTTTGTGCTTGTCACAATTTGCTTACTGCAAATTTAAATGGATACAATTACAAGGTAGGAAATGATATAATTATTTAAAATTTTCTGCGTGATAATATAGTGATACAACTTTAAAAGTAATTCTTGATACTTCAGTTTTCTACACAAATATCTACTTTGAATATCCTGTTTTAAACCCATTCCAAAAAGTTAATGTTATGTTGACTAAATTTCTTCAAGAAACTAAAAAAAAAAAAAAAAAAAAAAAAGCCATAAGAAATAGTGTAATGCCTTCTCAACCACTTTCAGGTATTAATAACATAATAATATGATAAATATGGTATTTTTCAAATATTTGTTTTATTAAATGTTAAGATAGAATTGTCTCCATACATTTTTAAAAGCAAATTGTGTCTGTTATAACTAGAGTAATTTATTAATAGTGGCAACATATTTGTAAACAGTACAGAACACCTACCCCAGCTGCCCAGTTCAAGTTCTGCTGTGAATTTTAGTAGTGCCATTACTGTAGCATTTTTACATTTCTTTAAACGCCATGAAATTGTATAAAAATTATTTTGAAAGGGTTTATTGTCTTCATAAAGAAACTGTGCTTCTGGCAAACAAATCTTTTCTTCAGAATTGTTTGTTGGGAAGATTTGTTTAAGTCTGTTCAAAAATTCCATCACTGGTGTGCCAACTTACAGTGTCCTAAGCTTTCAAATGCACCCATGAGTTTCCTTTATCAAACTACATAGTACATTTTCATTGTGTCACTTTTGTTGCTGTGCCTTCTGGTCTACCCAAAAGCTAAATGCCACTCAAAGGAACTCCACAAACACTTGTGGCATGATATTTAAATGCAAAATTGTGATGAAGAGATAATAAAAACTGGAAGTTTAACAGCAATTCAGGTTTCTCTGGGAAAATAGAAAGATGTTGCTAAGGGTCATATTTTTTATGGATTCAAATTGAGGGTGGTGAACAAAGGTATCAATGAGGAGGGGTATGTAAGCTATTCCAGAGATTGATTGCTTCCTTTTTAGCCTGGAGGAGAGAAAGAGAGAGAGAGAGACAAAGATAGACAGAGACAGAGATACTGCATCAGAGGTCAATGACATTAAATATAAGTATTTGAAAATGAACATGAAAGAAGTCATGGTGGGTCTTGGAATAGATTTAATATAATGCAGCAGATTATATGAGGCCTTGATTTGGGGGTTTGTCTGTTCACCATTTCAAGATAAAATAATAGATAAAAATGAGTTTCATGTTTAAGTTTATCCATTTCATTAACCAGGATCTATGGTTTAAATAACCTCACTTGACACCTAAATAAGAAATCTTTTCACTAAATGATGCGTCAGTCAGCTATTAATATAGAATGTGATTGATAATAGCTATCTGATTAGAATTAATGACTTAATTGAAATGTGTTCTGTAAGATATACATTTTGTAGATTTATGAGTATATGCATATAAAACATATTTGTACATACCATCTACAACATAATGAATAGAATTACCTTAGCATGATTTGCATCTTTTTAGCAGGAAGAATATAGATTGCTTAAAAATCTGGTGGGGTTCACAGTTAGAAAATTTTGAATGTTAATTTTAAATTTTTGCATGTCTTTTTACTTTTCTTCACTCTTGGTGTAGTGTTAAATCATTTAAGACTGACCAGCGTGAGATAGTCCTCTAATTGTGCTCAGAAAAAGTACATATTTGAGAGTTTTAGACATGAACATAATATAAATGGAGCTGCAAACGAAGAGGCATAATGATATTTAGCAAAGAAGCTCTAGCACTCGGAGAGGGTGGAGTCATAGCTGTCTAGACATCATTATGTTTTCATGACTAGGAGAGGGCCTGGCATGTTGGAGACCTGTAATACAGGTGTTTATTTAGTTTTGTGTACTAAGTTATAATTTCTCCTCAACCTAGAAAGACCATCATTACTTTATGCCTTATTCGTCATATAATGCAAGTTAGTGTTTGATAAAACTCAATACTAAAGAGATATCAATTGATGCTGGATGTAATAGAAATCAGGAGATTGTCAAGAATCTTCTAGATTCAGACAAAGCTGTTCCTATCCTATCACATAATTTATCATGAATGGAATGAATCATTTCATTAAAACATTTGGCAAGTTTCTTTAGAAAAATTCAAGAACACTACATGGCCCCAAACATTTTGGGCTTTTAACTTTAAACTTTCATGTAAATGAAAGAGAGCCAAACTAAAAATTTTAATCATTATAATTAGCAATAATCTGCTTAAATGGTCTAATTGCATGTTTAATTAGATGAGTGCTGTTTTCAAAGGGCCTCATGTTCTGGGGAATGGATTGTTTATTTTTATTCCAGACTAATAAGATAAACAATAACAGAAAACTAAGTATTGTTGCATGTTTGGGGGATAAGACTTTAGTTCAATGTGAATAAAAATGATAGAAAAATCTAGATTGATTTTGATTTTTTTTTCCAACAAACCATTCAATCTTTTTAAAGCATATGGTAATTGTTACTAGGAAACCATTCTTTTTCTCACATAAACACTAAAGGAATAAATAAAACAATGATCTGATCCAATTGATATTCTTATGAACTTTCATTGATACAGTTTAGATTTTTAAAATATTTAGCTATTATAGAGAATACATTTGTGAATACAATTGTCTTAATATTAGATTATATCTTCAACTCAATAAAATTGTTTCAAAAATTAAGAAGGCTTATAAAATGCTAACACAACTACTGACACTTGAAGGTTATGCTGAAATTCTTTCTTTATTTTTTGTTAATTATTTATTACAATTTATTCACTTTGTATACTGGCTGTGGCACCCGCCTTCATCTCCTCGCAATCCTTCCATCCCTTCCTTGTCTCCTCTTCTGTCCCTCCGCTAGAAGGCATGACTGGAGCTTTGCATGAAACAGCCTCACTCTATTTCAAAGTCACACTGACCTTGAGCTTATGATTGTCCTGCCTCTGTTTCTTGGATGTTGAGATAACACAACACACATATGCCACTAAACCTTGTACAAGACATAATTTCTTTATATCTTAATTAGTAACACTCAAGGAGATGGAATTGTTTGGAATTTTCACAAATTCTTTCTGGAAGCAGAATATTACTGTAATGTGGAAGGGTCCCATATATTCCTTCTAAACAAATACTCACAAACAGAAAAAAACACATTTGAATAGGTTTTATCATTATATTTGAGACCAATTTCAACTTCCCTGGACTTTCATTAAAGCTATGTCAGAACGCTTTTCCTAAAAATAGGGAAGTGTTTTAGGCTATTGCAGACTATACAGACAGACTTTTGAAAAATATGAATCCTAAATTAAAGGGTCCCAGAAAATGTACTTGTAATGGATATGTTGGAAGTAATATGGCTCCATACTTTTAAATAGTCACTTAAAGCATTGGTATTCACATCACTGTTTAGTGATTAGGATATACCTGGCTTTATTTTTTTAACCAATCGCACGTATCATAAATATTACCTATTTCATCAGAAAGAAATATAATATTTTATGGTTAGAGTCAAAGTTGGTGACAATAAGGCCATCTCCTTTCTACAATTGAAGCTACTACTTTTGTAACTTCAAATGATTTAAAATGTTTACAAACATGGATTGAGAAATACCAGATTTTTTTTGAATTTTATTTTTTTCTTATCAGTTACATTTTATTAACTCTGTATCCCAGCCGTGTCCCCCTCCCTCATTCCCTCCCAGTTCCTTCCTCCCTCCCTCATCTCCACAGTGCCCCTTTCCAAGTCCACTGATAGGGGGGACCTCCTCCCCATTCATCTGATCCTGTTTTATCAGATATCTTCAAGACTGGCTGCAAAGCTCTCCTCTGTGGCCTAACAGAACTGCTCCTCCCTTGGGGGGTGGGGAGGCCAAAGAGCCAGTCATTGAGTTCCTGTTAGAAATAGTCCTTGTTCCCCTTACTATGGGAAACCAATTGGTTACTGAGCTACCACAGGCTACATCTGAGCAGAGGTTCTAGGTTATATCCATACATGGTCCTTGGTTGAATGTCAGTCTC